CCGGCCATCCCTATATAGGATCCGAACCCCTGGCCTTGGTGTTATCAGCACCGCACTCTACTGAGTGAGCCACGGGCTGGCCTTATGCCATTTTATTTAAGGGACTTGAGCATCCATAGATTTGGGTATCCATGGGGGTACTGAAACCAGTACCCCTTGGATACCATCGACGACTGTATACATCTGCAGTATACATGAATAAACAGGCTTATTCTTTGCTTGCAGACCCTATACGAGTATTCTTGACTTTTAAACTTACTGTTTCCAAACCATTCTTTCACCCTGGTTCTTTTAATTTCCTCTCATGCAGTGGTATAGAGAATCCAGATGCTCTTGGTAACTTTATTTCTGATCTCAATTATTTTCCACCCACAGAATAACAGGGTGGCCAACCAGCTGGCTGTGAGTATTCGTGTACAAGGAGACAAACGTCTCAGCAGCTTGCGCCGCTGCTGTGCCCTTACTCGCTATGATGCTCACAAGATAAGCCATGACGCATTTGCTGTCATTAAGAACTGTAATACTTCTGGAATTCAAACAGAATGGTGAGTTTTTTCCCAACTCATCTTTTCAAAAGAGATGTATGCCCTGGCTTAGCTCTAAAATTAGTGGGCATCTTTCCAGCTGGGGCAAGCTTTTTGTGACTCACTCAGACTAGCAGCACTTATTACAGAGGGGAATGGTCATGCACCAAGAGAAAAAAGACAGTAGCAACCCCAGAAACAAGGAAGCTCTGCTGCAGCTGCTTTGCCTATATTGGGTACACACCAATTCCCAGGGGTAGGATAGAAGGCAAAGTGAACCAATACTGTCTCTGCCAGTATCAGCTTGTTATAGTCAGGAAAATGACCAATTGCACTTGGAGTACAGAGCTCAAGTTTCACGAATACACTGGGGAACTTCTCTCTCAACTACTTGATTATTCTATCTTAAAAGCATCTTTTTTTTTTTTTTTTCTGGTGGCTGGCCAGCATGGGGATTGAACCTTGGACTTTGGTTTGGTGTTATCAGCACCAGGCTCTAAAAGTGAGCTAACTGGCCAGCCCAAAAAATATTAAAAGATAATCTCTATCCAACATCCTACTTATGAGCTCCACTGGTATTATACCAGTGTTATATTCATTAATATACTTCTATTCACTAATAAACTACTTCTCTAGGTCATGAAATATAACCAAATATATGATAAAGCCTCTTTTTGGAGCATGTTCATTTTCTGTCCAAATATTAATGATTTTCAGGATTGGAATCTTTTTTTGGGGAGGCCACTGGCCAGTACAGGAATCCAAACCCGTGACCTTGGTGTTATAAGGCTGTGCTCTAACCAACGGAGCTAACCAGCCAGCCTGGGTTTGGAATCTTTTAAGAGCTTATTTAACATAGCCTGTTACATTGAAAAAAAAAGTATTCCAAATTCATGGAAATACAATTATGAGAGAAAGATAAATTGGTTGTTTACTTACAGAATATATTTAAGATTATAAAAAATAAAACCAAAGTTTAGTCAATCACCTAATTTATTGCTTATCTAAATATATTGGCACTGGGGCCGGCCTGTGGCTCACTCGGGAGAGTGCAGTGCTGGTAACACCAAGGCCCCGGGTTCGGATCCCACATAGGGATGGCCGGTTCGCTCACTGGCTGAGCGTGGTGCTGACAACACCAAGTCAAGGGTTAAGATCCCCTTACCGGTCATCTTTTTAAAAAAAAATAAAATAAAATATATTGGCACTATTATATGTATAGACCTATAATATGATGGGGTCTCTAAAGTTGGAGTCTTTGTTCTTTACTAAGAATAATTTACTTCCTGGTATATTTGCTTATTTTAAAATATTGAATGGTTGCACAAAACCAAATAATAATTGTGGTACTATGTTCATACGAAACCTTATTTGAAAACTTATGAGTTGACAAACTATAACAAATACCACTCCCCAATAGCGTGAAATTTATTGACAGGGAAACAACAAAATTATCTGATTATAAGGCTGTCCCAAAGAATGAAACCTGAGGATATTGAGATACTGTCATAATAACTTTAAAATAGCATTTGCTTTTTACCTCATTGAGGGACTAGTTTGTATATAAGTTTGTTTCTGGGGCCGGCCTGTGGCTCACTCGGGAGAGTGTGGTGCTGATAACACGAAGGCCACGGGTTCGGATCCCATATAGGGATGGCTGGTTTGCTCACTGGGTGAGCGTGGTGCTGACAACACTAAGCCAAAGGTTAAGATCCCCTCCCATATAGGGATGGCTGGTTTGCTCACTGGGTGAGCGTGGTGCTAACAACACCAAGCCAAAGGTTAAGATCCCATTACCAGTCATCTTAAAAAAATAAATAAATAAATAAAATAATAAAGGTTTGTTTCCTCTTCTGAAAATCAGCTAATGTGAAATTTTATTTGGGTAATTAGACATAATGAGGAACTTTATGACAGGAATTTGAAATGTTTTTGAGACTAGAATTGGTAACCAAAAGCAGTTGTGGGTTTTTTTTCTCTAGAATTCCAGAGTGTAAAGTTAGTCACCGTTAGGGTTAGGTTTAAAAATAGGAGAATGGCTATAGATTTTTCAGGTCTTTCCAATCTAAATATTCAAAAGCTTTTCTGTTGCCCTGAATATAAAATTTCTTACCCCCGCCCTGAATTTCAGCAGCTCTACAGCAGTGTCTCATAAAAACAATAATACCTAGCTGGCAGGAGGTGGGCGGTCACCAAGTCAGTGGTTCTCAGCTGTGGTCCCAGACTGTCAACATCAACATCACTTAGAAAACTGTTAGAAACTCAAATTCTCTGTCAATCTGAGGTCTACTGACTATTAATCTGATATAAGCTAAAGACTGAGACCCACTGCAGTAAGGAATAATGTCCTTTTGTGGCAGAACCAGAATTCCCAGTCATTTATGAATTGTCCTAAGCTCTGAAATAGTGACCTGATGTTAATCTTCCTAACTTTCCTTACAGGTCCCCTCCCCTCACAATGCTGTTCCTCTGTGCTACCAAATTCTCTGCCTCTGCCCCTTCATCTTGCACAGACATCACCATTTTCTTGAGCAGTGACCCAAGTTCTCTGCCAAAGGTGCCAATTACCAGTTCAGAAGCTAAGACCCAAGGAAGTAGCCCATTGGTGACAGGCATTAAGAAAGCAAACACCTCTCTGGAATCATTCTTCCAAAAAGCTGCAGAAAAGCAGAAAATCAAAGAAGCTTCACTTTCATCTCTTACTGCCACTATCCAGGCCTCCACAAGCAATCCACCACCTAAGCCCTCATTACCTTTCCAAACCAGTCGAATTACAGGAACTGAGCCCTTCTTTAAGCAAAAAAGTCTGCTTCTAAAGCAGAAACAGCTTAATAATTCTTCAGTTTGTTTCCCTCCACAAAACCCACAGTCCAACTCTAAAGGGTTAACAAACTACTTTCCAATCGAGTATCCAGATTGTGCCCCCGTTTGTGAAGGAGCATTGAAGCTAGAATCCTCTAAAACAACTCCTACAGAGATGCATTTGGCCCAGAACAGCCCAAGCAAGCTTGCTTCTTCAGCTTCCAAGTCGGCTCTGCAGGTGGCTCTAGAGGCTACTACCTCAAGTCTTCTTGCTGCTGAGGACCAAGTACGCTGTGAGAAGTGTGGCTCCCTGGTACCAGTATGGGAGATGCCAGAACACATTGACTATCATTTTGCATTGGAATTGCAGAAATCCTTTTTGCAGCCCCACTCCTCAGCCCCCCAGGTTGTTCCTGCCATTTCTCCTCAAGGTAAAAGAAATCCCAAGAGCCCTTTGGCTTCCAGTAATAAGCGCCCTAGACCTGAGGGCATGCTGACATTGGAATCATTTTTTAAGCCATTAACACATTAGTGCTGCCCTCAGGCTTGCTGCAGGATTTTAATATTTTATCTGTAGCCTGGGAAGTGGAAATATGTTCACTTCTTAAGGAAATCTATAACATGAAATTTTTTGTACAAAAAATAATCCAGCTAAAGTGCTGGGGTAATGTTCCTATCTCTTCATAGGCATGGATTATAATCCCATTGCTGATAGAGATGTAAAAATTCATCCTCCCTTTGATTTTTAGTCTAAAGAGTTTAGGGAGACAGTGTCATGGTAAAAAGTGTTTGGGTCTTGGGGCCTAAGAGACCCGGTTTCAAACCTAGCTCTGCTTCTTATGCATATGGCCTTGAGCAAATTACTTTCTTCACTTCTTCATCTGTAAAACAGAGAAGTTTACAGATTATTGAAGATTAAAAACGATATATTTAAAGTGCCTAACTTAACATTGGCACAGAAAAGGAACTGAGTTTAAAAAAAAAAAAGGTTTAAAAATAAATTTCTGGGGCTGGCCCATGGCTCACTCGGGAGAGTGTGGTGTTGATAACACCAAGGCCATGGGTTCGGATCCCATATATAGGGATGGCTGGTTAGCTCACTGGGTGAGCATGGTGCTGACAACACCAAGTCAAGGGTTAAGATCCCCTTACCGGTCATCGTTAAAAAAACACAAAAAACTAGATCATCTCTAGAACCTTGTTACTCCAAGTGTAATTTGGAGCATCACTGCAGCATCAGCATCACCAGGGTACTTGTAAGAAATAGTCTCTGCCTCATCACCACTCCTTCTGAGTCAGAACTGCATGTTAACAGGATTCCCCAATGTGTAAAGTTTGAGAAATACTGATCTAGAAGAT